TGGGTTTGATTGATCCAATATTTTCTAACCACTAAACATACAGGAGAGGAGGATAATGTTTTACAGTTTTAAGATTTACAGTTGTCAAATGTTCATACAGTATTGGCAGTGAAATACAAAGTGACTGTTCCACAAGACTGTGTAGTAACAACATCTGATAAAAGTATTTCTGAACATAAAGAAAAAATAGTTTGAAATAATGGTGAGAAAGGAGGTTGTGAACTAAAGTGCAGTGTACATTGTAAAAAAGCAGCAGTCATGTGTGCACAAAACAGTCATGGAAAAAACATATTAGACCATCCTTGTTTTCTTCAATTTCTTGTTCATTTTAATGCCTGGTACCACGAAAGGTATTACCCATAGAATACAATAAACATGAGAGACAGGTAGCGAAAAAACTGAAGATTTCCAAGACAGCCGTTCATTACACCAAGAAAAAACAAGCACACCACAGTACTACCAAACTGCTAGCTGGTCGAGGCAGGAAGCGTCTTTCTACCTCAAGAGATCACCGTGTGCTCATCCGTTCCTGTGTCAGGAATTATTGTCCAGGGACCTTAAAATGAGTGGGCACTGTCGAGAAATGTGCCTTGTTTGGCAAGAACAGTTTGAAACCGACTTCTTGAAGCTGGTCTGAAGTCACACAGGAGATGGAAGAAGCCCTCCATCAATAAAAGGCAGAGGAAAGCCCCGATATTCTTTGCTGGGGATCACAAGGATTGGACTGCTGGTGATTGGGCAAAGGTTCTCTACAGTGATGAATCCAATTTTCAGTTGATGCCCACTCCAGCCAACTTACTGGTTAGGAGGAAGCCTGGAGAAGCCCACAGACCAGACTGTCTGGTTCCTGCAGTAAAACATGGGGGTGGATCAGGGATAATCTGGGGTTGAACAGGGCAAATGCATTTGTGTGAATGGTGAATGAACCAGGTCATGTACAGGGCTGCTCTTGAAAACAGTCTTCTTCCATCAGCTGGAAAACTCTGTCCTGCCTTGAATGACCGGATTTTCCAACTAGAGAGCCCTCAGTAGAGGGACACAGTTGCCAATGTATGCAAATGTATCAAATGTTTTCCTAAGTTAGGATACTAAACTTATGTCTTTTTGTGCATGTTCAGTCATACAGAGGTGTTTTTGGGAAATGCAACCTTTGACCTCTGTAGTGGTCATCAATGCATGTACTGACTCCAAAATCGAATCACTCTGAGAAGGGAACATATCAAGGTCATGTATGAAGTTTCAGGTTCAAACTCCTCTCCTGTAAAGCGCACAGAATTGTATGCTTACACATAATGTCATGTATCTCTGTGTATATAGCATAATGTATGTGTGTGTGTAACATAGGTAGTCTATCCCAGCTGACTCAGGGTGAAGGCAGGGGACACCCTGGACAGGTCACCACTCTATCACAGGGTTGCACAGGTATACAAACAAACAGTACGCTACGAACAATTTAGAATCACCAATTAACCTCAGCATGATTTTGGACTGTGGGTGGATCCAGAGAACCCGGAGAGAACCCATGCTGCACAGGGAGAACATGCAAACTCCACGTAGATCCCAGGTGTCCTAGCTCTGATGCGAACTGGGGATCTTCCAGCTAACAACTGAGCCACAATGCAGCCATAGGAAACATACTTCCTTATATTATATACATGTTTACATTGTGCCCGTGTGCTGTTGCTATTGAGATGAAATACTAGAATTCAGTGTCAGTTGTTTACCAGGAATTTTTTGGCATCGGATGAATTGAAATATGATCTGACACTGATGGTACTGAGGATAACAATAGATGAAGAGTCAGGAAATCAACAACCTAATGACAATTTGTGCTCCTCTGTGGAGGCTTCATCTAGTCTGTACTCTTTTTTTATGAAAAGTCCATCAGTCGTCTCTAAAACATTCACATTAAATGTGAATCATCGTCTAGGAGGCATGAATGTCTGTACAAACTGCCTCTACTGTCTCTGCTGAGGCTGGTGGCAGTGGAAAGCACGAACAAGGAAGACTATAACAATCAGACTTGTAGCCAAAGCAGCACATAACACAAAGAGAAATGTGTTGACTTTCTGTGACTCATGTGTGTTGACACCTGAAACAGTAAAATAAAGAAATAAATAAGCATCAAAAATTAACTTTTGGTGTCAGATAGGACAACAAACTCAAATATCACATCACCAATATGGATTCTATCTGACTGTAATAAGAAACTATGTGTTCATCTTACACCTTTTCCAAGTTATAATGGATTAAAAATTTGTGATGATTTAACACCTTCGATGTGACCTTGTTCTTTGTCTCAAGGTCATCTGTTACATCACCAGTTTATAGGCCTCAAATGTTTTCCTAATTTAGGATACTAAACGTGTGTCTTTTTGTGCATTTTCAGTCACACACAGCTGTTTGTGGGAAATGCGACCTTTGACCTCTGTAGCGGTCACCAATGCATGTACTGACCCAAATCTAATCAGTGCGAAAAGGGGCCATACCGAGGTCATGTATGAAGATTCAGGTTCAAACTCCTCTCCTGTAAAGCGCTAGACTGTAACTGTAACAGACAAAAAAACATACACCAACAACGTGCACGCACAAAAACACACGGGCACGACTACTCTACAGTTGCCCATCGATGGGCAACTATAACAATATGTCCACGGACTTTAATTCATCCAAATTATTAAAACCAAAACAGGTTAAACCTATAAAAGAGAAAACTAGCCAAGACAGCAGTTCCACCAGGGGGCAGTGGCCACTGATGGGTGACACACTGTAGAAAACAGCTGGAGAAACAGAGATGTTGCCCTCTGACAACGAGACGACGAGAGACGCACGACCCTCCGATTAAACACTCGTCCTGCTCACACTGGGGAAGTTACATTTCATTGTCACCAAGTTGAATGATTAAACAAATAGAAGATAAACAATGAACCCTTCTTTGGCTGCTTACAAAACATATTCATTTTAAAAAGGTCATTGACACCACTAGTCTTTAAATTAAAGTGCATCCTCACTTTGTGGACCCATGTGGACAAAACTGTTGGTACCCTTCTGTTAAAGAGAGAAAAACCCACAATGGTCACTGAAATAACTTGAATTTGACAAAAGCAATAAAAAATTACTTTAAATAACCAAATAAAAATCAAACACTGTTTTTGAATTGTGATGCAACAGAATCGTTTTAAAAAAACAAACTAATGAAACTGGCCAGAACTACTATAAAACACTACAATGTCTGTCACTCATTTAAATAAGGAATTCACATGATCTGTTTGATTTGTGTGAATTTGAAGAAAAAAGATGTATCCAACCTTTCACCACAAACACACAGATAAAAGAGCAGCCTCAAATATTTTGCAGATCAACCAGCTCAGAAGCTCCACATTATCAGTGAGGACCCGCCCACTCTGCTGTCAGTCACTTCAGCAGGAAGATCACAGCAGACAGAGTTGGGCAGGTGGTTGTGGTCTCAGCCTCCGTCCTCTACACTGCTTCATCTCTGTTCAGGAGGCTGCTTAGAAGGAGAAGCAGAGCAGCGCTCACAGAAACACATTCACACTGAAGAGATCAAACGTTTCTGACTCACCAGCTCACACGTACTGATGTGAGAGAGAAAACTCATTGTGGAAACAAACAAAAAAAGCGCAAATAAAATAAACCTGCTAACTTGAACCAAAGATATGACTGTGAGGCAACATGAGAGACTACGACAGGAATGTGTTAAATACAA